ATAATTAAAATTAAGATTTTTGTCTGTATCATTATAATATTAGAGTCCAATTTCATTACATGCAGTTTAAATTGCTTGCATATGACTTTATTTTTCTTCTTTTGCTATCTCTGTGGCATACTTAACAACTCCCAATTCTTCCACTTCCACACATCTCTTCAGTAGGACAGGACTAGAGTTGGAGAGGTGGCTCAGCAGTTAAAAGCACTGGATACTCTTGCAGAGGACCGAGGTTCAGTTCCCAACACCCAAGTGGCAGCTAACAACCATCTGTAACTCCAGTTTCAGGGGATCTGACGCCCTTTTCTGGCACCAGTGGGCACTGCATGCATGTTGTACACTTAATACATGCAGGCAGAACACAGACAATGAGGCCACAGAGGAAAACACTTAGACATGCATTCCTAAGAGCTCTCCCCTGAAATCCTGCTCTAGGATAAACAGTCTTGTATGTGAGCAAATCTAGTTCCAGTGATCTGCCTCCTGTCCCCGACCTGTGTTAAATTCTAATCAAGAACAGTGATGGATCAGTGATAGCGTTCCAGTGCAGTTAGCCTTTCTGCCACATGATGGCGCTGTGGAAGCTTTGTCTCGCATAGCCTCTTGAACACTGCCCTTAACAGTTTGTAGTTACAGACTCCTTTCCTCCTTCTCCCCCTCTCTTCTTTCTAACATGAAACACCCTGGGAATTTGCATGACATCTTTGCATACGGCCATGCTAATCTCTTCAATATAGTTCTGATTTTACTATATGTGCTGCTGAAAACAGTAGCTCCAGACCCTTTAGCTGCCCAATGTGGATTTAAGCTTTCATTCCTGGACTGGGGGTATGGCTCAGTAGCAGAGCTCTTGTGTAGAATGCCAATGCAAAAAAGCCCTGAGTTTCACCCCCAGCCCAGCAACAAACAAACAACTTTGCAAAGTTTACAGTTTATATCAATTCTGTATCAATACCTTTAGGTTCTGCCTAGACCCTTGAGGCCTTCAGACTAGAGCCATGTGTTATGTCAGAACCATCCTGGTGCCTACAAATGCCTTGCCCCAAGCCATGTTGGTAAACACAGTGGCATCAACAACTACTGAACACTAAGTAAGCCCTTGCTTGCCATTCTATGAAGCCTGGTGCTGGCAGTGATCAATTTTTGGTGCCAGCCTGGCAGATGGCATTTTTGGTGTGTCTGTGAGGATGTTTCCAAAGGAGACTGGCATGTGAATACAGTGGGCCACAGTGGATGATCTAGCCTTGGTGTGGCTGTGCACCATCCGACCAGCTGAGGGCTTTAGAATCTAGTACTTTCACCCCCAGTTCCCAGTTCTCAGATTTGGTCTCTGATTGAGAGGCACACTACAGGCAAGAAAGCCTGTTCTCAGACCTTTGAACTTGGACTGTGCTGTGCCATCAGCTTCCCTGATCATCTAGCTTACCGATGGCCTGTCATGGGACTTCTCAGCCTCCATAATCATGTGAGCAAGTGGCTCTGCTGAGCTACAACTCCAGCCCTGATTCTGTTTCTCTGGAGAACCTAAGTTCTGATTATGTCCTTTCACTTGAAGGGAGATCACTCTTTATGAAAAGGGCTAATTGGGGGCTGGAGAGATGGCTCAGTGGTTAAGAATACTGGCTGCTCTTGCAGAAGACCCGGGTTCGAATCCCAGCACCCACATAGCAGTTAACTGTCTGTAACTCAAGTTCCAAGGGCTCCGACAACCTCTTCTGTCTTCAACGGGCATTGCACGACATGGGTGCACTTACCTACATGCAGGCAATACATGCATACACATAAAATAAATAAAATATTTTTTTTTAAAAAAGAAAAGGGCTTATTGCTAAAACGTTGGATGATTCAAAACTTAAATGATTTGACAGTGCAATTTCCAGAGGAAGGGCTGGAGAGATGGCTCAGCAGCTAAGAGCACTGGCAGCTCTTGCAGAGGACTGGGGTTCGATTCCCAGCACCCACATGACAGCTAAAAACTGTCTGTAACTACAGTTTCAAGGGCTACAATGCCCTCTTCTGGCCTCCACAGGCATTGCATGTACTGGTGCACTCATAGATGCAGGCAAAATACTTATACACATAAAATAAAAGCAATAAATACCTTTTTTTTTACTTTCCAGAGGAATAACTGTAGGAACTAGGGAGAGGACTCTTCAGCCGTTGTAGAATACTTTTAAACTTCATTCTGTTTTTATTTGCTAAATAATAAACTTGCTAACATTTTGCAGAATAGTCCCTGCTAAATTAAATTGCTAGAATGGCTACCTCAGCTAAAATTTCTTTAAAGATTTAATTTATTTGTGTGTGTGTGTGTATGTGTGTGTGTGTGTGTGTGTGTGTGTGTGTCCACGTCCATGGAGACCAGAAGGGGGCATCAGCTCTCTTGGAGCTGGAATTACAAGTCTTTGTGGGCCACCCAAAGTGGGTGCTGGCATCCAAACTCTAGCCCTCTGATAAGTGCTCTTAACCTGCTGATCCATCCCTCCAGCCCCATTTGGGCTTTTCAATAGCTTTTTTAAATCATCATCTGTAATTTCCATTACAAAGTTATTGATTTTGGAGATTGTCTTTTGGCACTAACACCCTCATTTAATGAACTCTGAGATAAAGCCAATCCAGGATGAGAAAATATCTTAAATGATTATGTTGAATGTTAAAATCACATCGCATCTGTCACTAATGTCGCTGTCAGAATTTATGATGGCTTAAACAACAGCTCAATTCATACAAGATGAGTTGATGGCAGTTATTTACTGTTGCCAGCTCAAGTGGTTCTGTCAGTAGCAATAATTCTAAGTATAGTTTACAATCCCCTTAGCCACCAATTTGAAATTATGCAACTGTTGATGATTTTTTTAATTGAGGGAGATTTGCAGTCTTTCAAATTTATGCCATTAAAATTTACATAATATACAAGTAGCACCAGGCTATTATCGCCTTTTTTTCTAAATGAAAAAAATGAAGCCTTTATTAATCTAATCTACTTATTTAAAGTGTCTCAACTGATAGTGTGGCTAGAAGTAGACGCCAGTGTCTAACTCCAGAACTTGTGCTCAGTACACAAGATTCCATTTTTCCCATGGTAATTTTGTCTTTGAGAAGGTATTGATATTCTTTCTTTTAAGTCCTGGTTGAAATTACACTCAAAAGCCCTGCACAAGATGGATGTGGTGGCACATGCCTTGAATCCTAGCACCTGGGAGGCAGAGGCAGACAGATCTCTGTGAGATCAAAGCCAGCCTTCTACATACCAAGTTACAGGCCAGCTGGAAGAAATATTGAGAAAACAAGAGATCCATATTTTCCATACCAGGGCCCACAGGTGCAGCTCCCACAAATGCTTTTAGAACTCTTGTCCTTCTGCTTTCAGAATAGGGCCTGCTCTCTGAATAACTGAGATGGGCCAGATTTCTTTGAGTCTCTTCAAGTGACACACATGCCCACACACACATGCCCACGCATACACCTGTAAGTACATGCCACACACATGTACATACATGAACACACATACATGGATACAAGAATCACAAATATATACCTGTGTTCACACACACTTGTACAAAAGCACATGCACACCATTGTCTGGAAATCTGTGCCAGAGTTTAAGGGGCAAACTGCATCCCAGCCCCAGCCCCAGAGGAGGGCCTCTTGAGCATGAAGGAAGCCCCCCCATGCCCCCCCACCCCTCACAAGCCATCATCACTAATTACAAGCTTTGAAATAGGCTCATCCATCACCCGGAAGTGACAGGCTGGCCTCACCGGCCCCATCCCCCACAACACTCCGTTTCTCCTTGAGTGACCACAGATTTGCTCCACAGAACAAAAAGCATTTTAGCCCAATATTTAATCCTCCCAAAAAATTTTAAATGTGGGCGTGCCCAGGCTCAGATCCTAGCCTTCTGCTCCTTTCTCTCCAAACCCGGAGAACTCATATTGGGCTCTCTCCCCACTTCCCATGCCAAACTCCCTTTCAACTGGGCTTTACACTGGACTTCATTTTCTGTATTTTGCTGACATTTTGCAATAAGTCTGTGGCTTCACATTGTTTTTACCACACTTACAAATGAAAAGGAACTTCTAAGAAATCATTCGTCCAGGGTCATCCCACTGGGAAAACTGGAGACGGTGTTTACATGGGGTTCTGCTAGTTGGGGATCCCAGGATCTCAACTGCTCCTGCTATCAAGCCCACCTCTGTGCCCAGCTCACCAGCTCCGCTTTGAGAGCTGGCTAGATGGG